GTTTCCACCAAAGCTCAAGTTAGAAGTGATGAAGGAGTTACGCTGCTATGTTCCACATTAAATTAGCCTATTTCAGACCAATTCTTGGACTGGTGTCCATATTGCTAAAAAACACCCACATTTATTAGCAGTCTCAACAGCATACAAAGGATTAAATGGATATTAATAATGTCTTGCATATCTCCACAAGTGATTGAGACACAATAATAGGCAAGTTTGTAGACATTTAAACTGCTGCTCCCTGTACTGTACTTGTTCAATAGGAATATAGCCTCCAAAGTTATTAAGATGGCACCTTTCATAAGCACTAAAGTATCTTGATGTTTTTGTTTTGTTTAATTAAGGGCCTTATAATTGCTCACTGAATCAATCCTTCAAAAACATTGTAGATTTATCAGATTATGAAAAAAGTCACAAAACACATTGTGTAAGTTACCCTTATCGTTCCTTTCTATTGTGTAATTTCTACAGTCATAATAGGATGCAGTTACTTCAAGGACATGTAAATTGGTCACAGTGAACTTTCACAAGTGCTGTGCCACTTTTCCTCAATTTTTCTCTCATCATAACCAGAGGTGAAAGTAAGTTGGTGTAGCCCAATGTGCTGCTCTGACAAGGAGGAGACAGCTAGCTGGGGCATTCAGTTGCAGATTGAAGTGTGGTGTGCTTCCAGCTGGGCTCCTGGGGCTCTCCTGCAGGTTGTCAAACTAAGCAGCAAACAGCCAGAAAGGCTAAGGGGGCCAGCAGGGGGTGCACCCCCCCACTAGTCTGGCACTGCTTCAGTCTAGGGATGTTAAAGACTAGTTGACTAGTCGATTATCCAATAAGCATTTGCTTATCGGATAGTCTTTTGACTAATTGACTAGTCGATATCCTTCCCCCCCGCATGCTACCTCTATGACATAGAGGCAGCAAAGGGAGGGAAAGGAATACTTCAAAGTGGCAGCACCGCACAGCTGATCCACACTTTGAAACTCCAAGGTGGCCGCTGCACAGCTGATCCATGGATCAGCTATGCGGCAGGCTGCCCCTTTAAAACACCACCTCTGCGCATTTCAAAGGGGCAGCCATGGAGCCTGGGGTCAGCGGGTTCCCCAGCTGATTCCAGGTTCTGGGGAAATGCCGCGGGGAGTCCAGGGTCAGCTGGGAGTTCCCAGCTGACCCTGGGCTCCACGGCAGTGGCCCCTTTGCAATATCAGAGGCGGATCAGCTGTGCAGTCGCTGCCCCATTAAAACGTCGCTGCCACACATTTCAAAGGGCAACTTCTGTGGAGGCTGGGCTCCCCGCGGCATTTTCCCCAGAACCCAGGATCAGCTGGGGAGTTCCCTGGTTTGCTGGGGTCCCCAGCTGATGTCAGGCTCCTAGCGGCATACTGTGAGTCCACCCCTGTCCTGAGCCACTCCTCACAGTCCCAGACCCCTATACCCCACACATACACCAAGCCTTCTCTTTTACAAAGAATAGGATGGGTGATCTGACCATGTCACACATGTATGTAAGTGATATGGAAACTTAAGATATACTTGTTTACCAAAACATAACTATAAAGAACTTTTCCTAAGAATTAATATTCTAGCTTTTCTTGTATTCAAATGATTAAATGTAATTACAGGCTCACACTCATGACCCAAAGAAACCTAAAATAACAATAAGTAATCAAAACTATGTATAGCAATGCATCACTGTGAGCAAGAAAGATTAGAATATTCATGGGATCGTAATATGTTTAAATATATGTGAGAAGCAGAAAAATAAATCAAAATGAAAATAGTCTTCAGAAGAAATAGAAAGTCATGTAGTTCCCAAAGCACTAGTCCAGAGCTCTTTGCAACATGAATAGTGGCAAACATGAAGTAGTTATGCCACTTATCAAAATGATTTTAGGTCTAGAAACTTGCATTGCAAAAGTAATCCACTTATAAGAGTTGACGAATTTACAAGAGAAATGCTAATCACTTTAGACACTCAAAATCATATAAAGCCATCCACTATAATTATATTTCTATGAGAGTAGTTTTCCATTCTTCTAGAGTGATTAAAGTAAGCAAAAGCAATGTCTATTTTTATATCTGGGAGAGAATTTAGATGAAAGTAATGCATTAATACTGATTGTCAGAAGGCGCTATAGAACCTTACTAACATTAAATTAATTGTCTAAGTTAAGCATTGTGTAAATGTTCAGTTTACAAATGAGGAAAGTAAGACAGAAGTTATATGGTTTGCCTAAAATTAGAAGGAGCCAGTGATAGCACTGGGTACAGAATCTATGTATGTCAACACCGTAATTAAAAACCTGTTGCTAGGCCATGCCAACAGTCTGCCCCACACTTAAACAGTCCCTTAGCACAGGCCCTGCTAACCTAAGTCAACTGGCACAGACTAACCACTGGTTTCTGACTGCAATGCAGACACAGCCTTTATGTCCCAATTTTTACTCCCCTGTTTAAACCATTAGACATTGCTTTCCTTGTCTTATTCTTCTAGACCAGGGCTACTCAACTTTGGAAGCCAAGGGGGCCACAATGATACTCATAGCACATGCTGAGGGCCGCAATTTAAGTGTGGTTGCATATACATGCAAGTATACATGCAAATATCTGCAAATAGCTTCTTTCACACTGATGGACATGAATACAAAGATTAAGGTAAGACTACACAAGACACAGGCCCCATTTAAGTCAGTTCTGCAGATATTAATAAAATGCAATATTTACCCAACTTCCACCCATATGACAGCACTTTTAATGAGCAATGACAGTCCAGGAATTTAACTACTAAAAACTGTATCAACAGAAGACCATTATATTGACTACTTTTTGTAGTAATAATGCATCAAAGAGCAATATTCTGCTCCTTCCTGAGGGCAAGAAAAAGGGATGAATTTAATGACTCAACAGTTTTTGTAATTCTATAACGAAGTGAATGCAAAAAGCTGCATACATTTCAAGACAGGTTAAAAGCTGTCCTTAGATATTTACTTGTAGCTCCCATGGATTTCAGTAGCAATCCCGTGTATCCAAGAGTGGATGATAGCTACAAATCTATACATATACTAGAGCTGGTTTAGAACAAATTCAAACTGTTGATGAATTCTCATTAAAATAATAAATGGGAAAAGTTGGTCAAAACCATAACATTTTAATGAAAATTTCAATAAAAATTCTGTTTTGTTTCTTTCCTAATTTCAAAATGTTGGCAAAAAACGTATACAGAAGGATTCTGAAATATAGTGAGTGACCTCAGCTCTCGTGGACTTCAGTGGAAATTGAGAATGCTCATCATTTTGAGCAATCGGGCCCTTAACAAAGTGAAACAATAACAGAATAGGCTTGTGCTAATGGATAAATTCTGTGCTCTGTTGTGCATATACAATGCTCATCCATGCCTATTCACAGCATAACTCAGGGCAGCATTTCATGCCAGTTATAATAACTAGCTAAGGAAACTGGTGAACAGCATAGAAATAACTGATAATTTAATGGGAAAATAATTTTTACACCTTATCTTAGATGCTTTTTTAAACTCCATAGTTACTGCAAACATACTACATTTTTCTTAAATTTCTCACCATGTTTTTTTCATTCCAGTCCTCAATTCTTTTAAACAGAGATACATTAAGGAATGACATGACAAATGTAGGTTTTACTGAATTTTAGAGACCTTTTCAGCTCATACTAGATATGTGAAAAATTGAACTGCATTAAGCAAGCCTGATAGAAATTCTGTTTAAATGTAATCAGTAGCTGGATATGAATAACTTTATTTAAATGCAAGACCACAGCAATTCTGTGTACTCCCTTTACATTGTAGATCGTTGTCCTACCTCATCTAATTTGAGGTTTCGTTTTCTGGCTGCTGCTTCACTATTGAACTCCACATCAGATTTATCTGTATTGCTGCAGTCTGTCATAGTGGATTCTTCTTCTGTACCTTCAGGTGTCCCTCCATTTGGTTGCTGGATTTTAGAATTCTGTTCTGGTGGGCGCTTCCAGTGGGGTCTTGTTGCCATCCACAAAATAAGAGCACCAAAGATTAAAACCAAAAAACCAAGAGTGTTGACAAGAATCGCCTCTGGTGGAGATGTGCTATATGCAGGATTTTTCCTTACAGGGAAAATAAAAATAACTGTTTTAAGGACAATTTTATCGTATAGGTGCCTAAAAAAAGACTGCTATTCATGTTGTTAAAAAACAGTGGATCAATACTAGAATATGTTGTTTGATACAAACTTGATGACAGTTTTCAGTGGTAGAATTTAATGAGCAAACAGGTGAAAGAGTGAAATTAAAAATATAGTACTTACAGAGCAAAAATAAGTTTCTCTGTGAATCCCATGAGAGCTGTTGCAATCACTGTTGCAAAGATGAGGAGGCCAGAATAAATATGTATTGGCATGAGAGATGCACGAAGAGAAGCTGGAGCAAAGGGCAGCAGGAAGACAGCAAAACCTAAGACAAGCTAAACACGGAATAGAGATTCAGCATTAAAACTGTGAAAGAAATTTGCACTTTTAAATGAAAACGGAAACCACCCATAAAGGTTCATTTTTAAAGTATCTGTGGTTCAAACCTAATTGGATCAGGAATATATTTTAAAGCATGTTTCCATGCAGCGTTAAACCCAAAGACAATATTGTGCTAGTACCTAAGAAACAGTCCATAAAACGGATTATAAACAAACTAGTCTGTTACCACTGTCCAACTATGTGGAAATAGTAAAAAGTAATTAAACTGCATAGTGAAAAACACTATTTTAAATTACGTAAGAACAGCTAGACTAAGTCAGACCAAAGTCCATCTAGACCTGTATCCTGTCTTCCCACAACAAAGTTTTAATTTTCAGTAACTATAGCATTAATACTGCATATACTGAAAATGACTTATTTTAACAATATTCCCTTTAATTATGATTTCTGCCCCTTCCCACTAATGCACAGATTCATTCATCAGTTGAGGCTAGAAGTGACTACTAAATCAATGAGTTTGACAGGCACAGAATTTCATCTGAATTCCCCTGTATTGAGTCAATGAAGCCTGCTGATGGCAGGGTGTGTGTGTTCAAAAAGGCCTGGGGTCCCCAGCCTCCACTGCTGCTACTCCCACCGGAACCTCAGGCCCTTTAAATTGCTGCCGGAGTGCTGTGTCACGTGCGAAGCAGAGGGCTGGCTGCCCCAGCCCTACCCCTTCCACCAGAAGCCTCACATTTTCTACTTGAGGTCCCAACACATCTTGCCTAGGGGCTCGCACAGGCTGTCAGCTCCCCCGGAGCCAAGTAACATGTGTTTGTCTAAAACATATTTTACACCATAATGAAGTTACCTCTCAAATTTCTTTCTGATAAACTAAACAGGTTAAGCTCTTTAATCTCCCACTGCAAGTTATTTTTGCTAGCCCTAACCAAGTGAGTTATAAGATCAAGAACACATATTCCTGCGCATCCAGAAATATAATTTATGCTATCATGTGCCGAAAGTGTCCATCTGCTATGTACATTGGACAAACGTCTCAGACACTTCGCCAAAGGATCAATGCCCACAAAACAGATATTAGACAGGATCACAAAGAAAAAACAGTTTCTTGCCATTTCAACCAGAAAGGACACTGTCTCAACGACTTCACCACCTGCGTTCTTCTACAAAGACCTTTTACATCTGCACTTGAAAGGGAATCCTCTGAACTGTCATTCATGTTAAAATTCGACATTCTCCGGGGGGGCGGATTGAACAAAGACCCCAACTATCTTACCCATTACCAGGATAGCTTCCCCAATTATCACCTCTAATACCATTAGCTCACAGACATCTAACTTTCTCCACCTCTAATATCATTAACTCACAGATACTTACCTTCCTTCCTTCCCCCCTCCCCCGCATCCCCCTTCTGTTCTGAAATGTGATTTGTCCTTTTCATATGTGTTCACTTTTTTTTTAATTGTATCCTTTGGTATATATGGTTGTGACTATTTTCTTCCACTATTTGATCTGAGGAAGTGGGTCTGGCCCACGAAAGCTCATCATCTAATAAACCATCTTGTTAAGTCTTTAAAGTGCTACATAGTCCTGCATTTTGCTTCAGCTACACCAGACTAACACAGCTACATTTCTATTACTATTCTGCTGTATATGAGCGTTGTCTCAGGAAATCTACTTGAAAATAATTATTCAGTGTATTAATTTGTAAAAACTTCTTTTTCATATAGTTGTTTGACTAATATTGACACTTTCTTCTTTATGCACTACTGCTTCTCTACAGAAATGTCACCTGGTGGGAAATGATGGAAGTCTATTAATGAGACTAACACTTTATATATTTCAGTAGTCCTCTCATTAGCCAGTAACCGTTGATTTTTTTAGTCAGCAGTATGAAATGCTTCCCCTTTACAGTATAAGAACACACTGTCTCCACAGGATTCTCTGATCTTGCCAGACTGGGGAGCGAGAGATAAAGATTAGGACCCAAATTCAAGCACCTGGGTGGTCATTTTCTGCTTCCTCTTGACCCTAGGGAACCAAAACCTGTTTTTATTGCACAGGTTTCAGCTCAAAATGCAGAATCACTAAACCAGACTTGTAGGGCATGTCTATATAACACTCTAGGGTATGAATCCCAGTTTGTCATCTGAGCTAACATACTAAAGATAGTAATGCAGATGTGATAGTACTACAAACCTACCCAAGCCCCATAAGTACATCCTCAGGGCCATTAGCTCACACCATTGCCACCGTTGTCCATGCTACTGTGGCAATGCTACTATTTTTACATTAAAAACAATGAATAAAATATATTTTGAGATACATTATTCTTGACTTTTTAAAATTATTTGTGTGTTTATTTATAAAAGTCAATAAATCAAAATAGGTCTCCCAGTACTTGAAGTAAATTAGTTAGGTTCTACTGTACTTTAATTAATTATAGAACACATATTTTTCAGCTTTATATCTTATTTATAAATACCATAGTTAAATTCTGACCTGCAGAGAATAAAATATAACAGCAGTCAGTCCAATCCAGCTGTGCAGACTGTACATGTTGGGAATGTTCTTGGCATTGTGGAAATCAAAAACAGCTACCAGAGAAACAATTGCAAGAATCATTGCTATGGTATTTAACCCAGCATGGATGAATTTAATCAGGAGTTTGCTGCATTTCCAGGTCCAGGGCAATCTGTACACAATAATAGCTGAGGAGGGAATAAAAGCAAGATTTAATAGGAAATATCTCCTTTCTGTAAGTATTTTGATAATCATGCATAATTCAAATCATTCCAATGTAAACTACAGAAGAGGGAAAAACTTTAGAGGACTCAGACTTTTCTCCCCTCCCACTTCACAATGCTACATGTAATCATTAGTTTCCAGCACAGAATTCAGGCCAGTGTATAACCTCTAGAGAGAAACTTTCTTCTAATTTTTTCATAGAAGTTTTGACTGACTGGGTTAAAAAATAACAGCAAACAACTTTAATTTGTAAAAACACATAATAGGCCCCAATTCTGAAGCCTGATATCTGTGGGATCCTCTGGGGCATATGGGTCCTCTTTTGCAGATAAGATTGCAGAATCGCAGCCTAATTAATTCATGATATCATATATTGGAAAAATGTATTCAGATGCCTTTACTCACTATAAATAGCACCTGATTCCACAAGTATTTCCATTTCTCCCATGAAACTATGTGTGGAGTTAAGGCCAGGTCTATATTAGAAGTGGAAGGCTGGCTTAAGTTACGCAACTCGAGCTATGTAGAAACGCTGTCATCGGCTTCCTTTACTCCCTGCGACTGCGAGGAATACAGGCACTGTCTGGAAGCTGCCCTCAGCGTTCGATTTACGAGTCTATACTAGACCCACTAAATCAGTGGTTCTTAACCTTACTGCATGCAGCCTGCACTCCTTTGTTTCTCAAAATATGCTCTCGCACCCCTTATTAAAAATCATTGAAGTAGGTCAGTTCTTTAAACCTAAGATATATCATAAAAATCTGGCATGCCTCCCCCCCCCCCCCAAGGCCAACCACAGCTTAAGAACCACTGCACTAAACTGAATGCCAGAACTTTGATCTCCACCATGGCAAGTGAAGTTGTACTCTAAAATACTACTTAGTGAGAATAAGGGAATAAAAATCTGACCCTTAAGACTTAAGGGGTTCAGCAAAAATGTAATCTTGTATCTATATAGTTTCTATTATATGCATAATACAAAAGAATGCTAGCAAATTATACATTCTGTCTCAGTCTGAAAACATTACTTCTGTCAGGTACTGATTTTTTAGTTACTACATGCTCCTTCTTGAGAAAATGTTCAGAATGAATCATTGTGCAATTGTTATTACTAATTCAGAATCCACTGTTTCTACAGAATTCCTGTCTTTTTAGCACTGACTCCTTTTACACAGCTGTCACCCCTTAAACTGTATTAGTTACAGAAAGGAAAGGCTGCATCTGACTGTGGATTGGAGGTGAAATAGTAGGGTTTTAACTGCTCACCCATAAGAAAAAGCCAGACTATAAATATGGGGCCTTCCCTTCCCAGGAAATATCAATGAAGGGAAGAAAAGTAATTGAGTGAAGAGAGGCAAAAATTTACCACCGTAATGAAAAAAATACAAAAATAATTTAATGGTTGGAGGGGACAGCCCCTTCACAATAAATAAATTAACAGTTTCTTAACAATGAGTTAATTGAGAAAAATCTTCATGTTGTTTTTTGTCTGCAAACTGGCATTCAGATGTGCTAGGATCAAGATGAGCATATATAGTTAACTGTGCTGAAAACAAAAGAATGAGAGTACTGTATTCCTAGTTATAAAAGGTGTTCCCGCTCTGAGGGAGAATGAATGCATTATTAAGTGTGGGGTAGCAGAATGTATTTCTTGACTTTTCCCCAGTAATAGAAGGATAAAATCATTACTTAGCAAAAGAAACAGCTCTCATGCTTTCCATTCAATACTGGTATACAATCTTAGCATTATTAATGAAATTATACAAAATAGAAATCCCAAAAAGAAATACGTATTGTGTGTTTGGATGAATAATAATTAATGAGAAATTGCTTTAAGGTACTACTTATGCATTTGTGTTTTTATTTGGGTACAGTGCATGCCAAAAATTACAGAATTTCAACTACACTATTCACAAAAAAGATAACTCTGTTCACAAATGGAATGTTCTTGAATATGAGCAGGTCTCAGATCAATGTAAATTACTGCATATGTGGGAAGCATAGCATAGGAATGGAACAAGTCCTGTTAATATAACTGCATACAGCATTTAGGTATTTGAGTTTGTGTTTAAGAATGGGATACAAATAAAGCATGTGATATTTAAACTAAAAAAAAGAAGGCAGCCGCATTTTCAGGTAGCTTGACATGAATCAAACCACATGAAATAGCAAAGACTGCAACAGTCAAAATGTCAGTCTCATGATTACTGTCTAACAAGAAGGAAAATGCCTTGCCTTGTCCTACTATGAATGAAGCTAAGTAGCACAACTGTAAAAACTTCAAGATTTTAAATGTAGTTATTCCAAAATTTTCCAAAAATAACGTAGGCATAATTCTGCCCTCAGGTACACAAATGCAATTTCTATTATTAATGCATACCCAAGGGCAGTATTTGGTCTTTTATATTTTACAAACTAATCAATAATCTTTACAAAATTGAGAAATATTAGATGATTACTAAAATAAACATTATGTAGCCGCAAAAAAAAAAAAAAATCAGTTACATTGTTAGTAAAATGCTCCCTGAGAGCGGGACCAGCTGCCAGTGTGTTCCCGGCTCTGACCCCACTTCTGGGGAGTCCCCTCTGTATCAGAGGCAGTAGTGTGGGGTGGCAGGCAGGCTGGTCTATGATGGGAGCCAGTTTAAAAATCGGCTCTGTGCACAGACCAGCTCCCCCCTGCTGTCCTGCTCTGCTGCTTCTGATACAGAGGCAGGGTGGCAAGGAAGAGTGCAGGGTAACAGCAGCTCCTGTCTGAAGTGGGACCGAGCTCCCTGTGGGAAGAGGCTGCTCTAGCATCCCACAGAGCAGTCTCAGTCCATGGCGAGCCCAGGCCTGCCCTGGACAGAGGCTGCTCTGCAGCAGCAGCCCCTGTTTGCAGCAGGCCTGAGCTCCCCACAGGTAGCCATCCCGCACTGCTGCCTCTAATACAGAGGCAGTAGCATGGGGGCGGGGAGGGGCGAGGTGGGTCTGCGGAGCCGATGCTCTTTTAAGCCAACTCCCCCTGAGCACAGGCTCCCACCTGTCCCCTCACACTACTGCCTCTGTGGGAGGCAGTGGGGCATGGGGAGGAGGGAGCTCTGCGGGAAAGAGCACGCAAAGGGCACCGGCTACCACCTCTCCCATCCTTTGCTTCCTTTGACACAAAGACAGCAAGAGGGCTGATGCGTGTAGTCTTTTGGATTAACAGATAAACCTAGGGTTTCAACAAATATACACTAACATCCCTGATATGTTCATTTTCCCCCTACATTTGAAATATTTTGAAAAACGACTAAGAGCTATAAAGTTTTAAGCCAGATCCAGAACATTACTTCTTAACTCTATGGAGGTATTGGCTAATTGAAGGATAGCTGGATTTTATTTAGAATACAGGAGACTGTTAAAGGTGGTGTTATGTATAAACTATATTTATTCACACAGTCAGAGGACAGGAGCTTTGAGACGTCCCTGTGAACTAAATGATAAACAGCTAAAAAGCTTTACCTTTCTTCATTTCTTATTATCTTTAACTCACATGAAGAGCTGAGTGAATAACAGTTTTTTGTGGGGAGGAAGGATTGTTTGGGAGTCAAACCAGGAAAAAAAATAATTTCAAATTAAAATAGGTGGTGGATTTTTTTTTTGTTTCTTGATAAAATATGAAACAAACCAAATTGATTAAAAAACACCCAAAACAATACAAAAATAAAACAAAACTACTCGAAGAGGAGACTTTATTTAGATTTTGGGGTGTTTTTCAATCCACGGTGGTTTTATTGTATGGTTCCTACTATTTTTCACTGTTTCCCCCCAATAATTAGTCCAAATGTTTTATTTCAAAATGGTCAAAAATCAATGGTTTTTACTTATTCAGAAAAACTCCATTTTATTTTGGCTGAAACTAATCACCATATTTGACCTGAATTAGCAAATAGTTTGGTGCCCCAAAAGTGCACTTTTGGTCATAATTTATTTACCAAAAGAACTTTGCCCAATATTCTTCATGTGGTAGTTGTTGAGTGGCACTATCATCATAGCTCATAATTTAAAGAATGGCGGCATCCATGAGTCAAGGTTGGCATCACTGATCACCCATGTGTTTCAAGAGAAGCAAGGGATGTGTTGCATCAAGAGATAGCACTTTCTTTCCGCGTATTACATAGTCTTATATTGTATAGGGTAAGTTTCCCTTTATTCCATATCAATGACTACTTTTGTTGCATCAGAGCCAATTAAGTGTATCCAGATATTCTGGATAAAATAATAATAGTTCAGTGATTTTTCCAGTAAGCAGTTTATAAGCCTTACTTCATCAGATGGAAAATTCTAACTGAATGTCCTCGGGTATACAGATGTTCTAGAAACATGTAGGCCAGTGGTCCCCAACGCAGTGCCTGTGGGCGCTATGGCGCCCACCGGAACATCTGGGCTGGCCCCGCCCCCCAGTGTGCGGCACATGCGTGGTGCTGGCCCCGGGTGTGTGGCACATGAGCGGCCCCTGCCCCAGGTGCACAGCACATGCATGGTGCCGGCCCTGGGCTCAGGGCGCGTGGGCAGCCCCTACCCCTGGCGCATGGCACATGCGCAGTGCCAGCCCCGGCCACAGGGTGCGTGGGCAGTCCCTGCCCTGGGTGCGCGGTGCATGCGTGGCCCCACCCCCAGAAGCATGGCGCATGAGCGGCCCCGCCCCCGGACACCCGGCACGTAAGCAGCCCCGCCCCTGGGTGCCCAGCAGCCACGAAAGATTGGGGACCACTGATGTAGGTTCAGGAGGAAACTATTTTGATCAATGCTGGAAAAGACTGGTGTACCTCTGTTTTGAGTTTTAAGATAGAATGTTCAGCAAGAATTCTCTCTTGATAAAAATAACATAGTTTGATCAACAATCCCACATCTATCACATCCCCTCATTCTCAGCATTTCTTAACATAGTTAGGAATGTACTTCAGTTCCTCAATTGTCTGTTGAGAAATCAGTACAT